TCAGATTTAACAAGCAGATAACAGTACAAGTGTTCCTTAAACTTCCTTGTTGTCCCATAACAAGTCACTCCTGCTGCTTCCTCTTTGGAGAGGAAGAGGAATGGCTGTTCCAGCAGCACACAATTGCCTGAACTCCTGAACCCTGGCATCTCCCAGCCCTGCTGCTGCATGGCAATGCAGGGAGGTGACTGGGAGCATGTTTCCTTCTGGGCTTCAGGGTGGCTCCAAGCCAGGAGCCACCAGTGACAGGGATTCCAGCTGTGCTCTTTGGACACAGAGCACGTGTCAATTATTTATCTCCTCTTGCTCCATGCCACATAGGGATGGGATTGGGTTGGAAGGAATGGTCTGAAAATAGCAAGTGCCTGTGCTCTGTAGCTGAGCAACAGAAGGTGGTGTGGCTCTTCCTGCTGAACCTTCTAAAGAAACATTTTAAATGAACACACAAGAAACTAATACTAATTAATAATAGTATTCTGTGGAGACCTGTGGTAGGGGCTGCAACAGTGCATTAGCAAGCTATGCATAATTCAGCAATGCTGAATTCTTTCAGACATCATCTACAGGGAATTTTGCACAAGTGTGGATTTGGTTATTTGTCCCTTTTGTGTGCATGTGTAAGTGTTCCTAAGGACATTGTTTGGCCTGCAGAACCCCTGGTACTGGAGGTGCTGTTCAAGAAAGGGAGCATCCATTCTGAGTCTAAGAAACCAAGCTGGGATGGGTTTTCAGAAAGTTATCCTACTTCTAAACAGACACTAAACGTGGAGCCCTATGATGGGATTTTTACTTTTTTTCCCCTCTGTGCAGGCACTTTTTCAAAAAGAGTTGCAAAAAACAGGCAGCTCTCAACAGACCAAGTTATAAACCAGCATTTTTCAATGGTAGCTGAGGCACAGGCGTGTGAAAACATGCATTGGCACCTAACCAAGTGGTCTGGCAGTGCAGCCTCGTGCCATGGAGCTAAAGCTACCTGCTGAGCTACTGCTAGAGTGAGTTGTCACAGCTTTGTATTCTCTTTTCCTGCATGGCAAAGCTAAGCTAACAGGGAATGTATTTTATCTCTCTGCTTGAGCAGGATAAGGACATGTAAGTGGGACAATTAAGGATGAGGACATGTAAGTGGGACAATTAAAGATGACTCAACTGACAAGAATTAGCTGCTACATTAGCCTTTTATATCTTGCCCTGCCTCTTATTTTCAGAGGGTTGTTAACCTGGCCACCCCTAGTAAGGCTAATTTGTGTGTGAATCTGAAGACCCTTAGTTTGGGTGCTCATAAAATAGAAAGATGACTTGCTAATGGGACTTCATGCACATTTGATAGGGTACTATTTTGTCACTGATGCCTTGTCAGCAGAAACAGCAGGTGGATTTGCAGGTCCTCTGAGCAGAATTTTTGCCACTTTTTGCCACCAGTCCTGGAAGTCTTGGAAGGATATGTGTTCTCCCTGAGTCACTGCATATTGTTATAACTCAGTTGCAGCAATGAAGACGTATTTGTGCTCATTGCAAATACTTACAGAGTAGCAGAGCATAATTGTCCCTCTGCAAGCATCTCTCTCCAAACTATTGTTTCAAACTGCCAGCCACATCTTTGTTCTTTATTAAGACTAAGGCAGCAACACAGAGTCTGTAGGTATCAGGAGATAATCATTCCCCAAGGGCATTTGAAACACTTCACAACCAAAAGGTTGTGATTACTCCACAATTGCTATGCTGCTTATTATTCCTTATTGCTTAATTATGGAATCAGAGTGTGTTTCTTGGATGCTGTCATCTGAATAAGATTCTCCACTTCTGATGCTTTGCTTCAGTGTTACATGGGCTGGAAATCTCTGTAGATGTACAGGATAGCCATGGAGCAAGCCTGTTCTGGAAGCTCTCCTGAACTTTTGGGAGACCAGAACTTTCATAAACGGGGCTGTGTATCTAGAACAGAAGAAATACAATGGACTTTCTCTGAAGTGAATGGCCTGTTTGTGTGGAACCCACAACCTTGGTGTTACTGCACCATGTTCTACCCAGCTGAGCTCATCTCCCTGCTTCAGTCAGTCTCACATGACTTACTGCCTTGAAAGGAAATGTACTGTTATGACTTCACATTGGGGAAAAAAAAAAAAAAGTAGAAAGGATGGTCTTTTCCAGGCTCACTGGGCCTAGAAATCCACCCTGATAACTGATTTTATAAAATCTTGGATGTAATGCTTCATTGAACCAGTCTCAGATGACTTGCTGCCTTGAAAGGAAATGTATTCTTGTGGCTTCATGTTGGAAAATAAAAGTGGTCTTTTCCAGGCTCACTGGGCCTAGAAATCCACCCTGATAACTGATTTTATAAAATCTTGGATGTAATGCTTCATTGAATTGTGTAATCTACTCTAAGGAAGGGGATAGCCATTCAGTGTGTATTTTAGCCTTAGCCTTGATTTTTTTGAGTGTATCCATTCATAAGAAGATGAGAAGATGGTTGATAAAACTCAGGTTTCTAAATCATCACCTATATTTCCAGGTGAAACTCCTTCTGAACTTAATTCCTTAAACTTGTTTTTGGGAACTTGAATAAGAAATAGACTGGGTGAAACTCCCTTATTATCACGAGGTTGGCATAAAGTTTGCTTAATGAGGTGCCTTTTATGTCAGCACTTGATTTTTATATCCCCCTTTTCATTGCTGAAACCCAAACATTAGCAGCACCTTCCATTGTGGCTCTCTGTGCTAGTGTGGGTGCTCTGTCTTCTGTAAGAGGCTGCCTGCAGTCCTGCTAGCAAGCTCTTGTGTCATAAAAAGAATTTGTTCAGCAAATAAAAATGTATTGTTTTCATTGTTAGAGGATGCTACTTAATTGGCTGTATGTTTGTCTAATAATCACATCTAAAGCTGATTATTCTCATAATAGCCTTAAGATATTATTTAAAAATAAATATATAAATGCACAACTTTTGTACTAATACTAGTTTTTAATCTCTTCTTGTTTCTATGAAGTCTGAATGAGATTTTCAAAATTGAATAATAATTTGATCCGTTAATCTTTTGAAGCTAGTAATTTTATTTTCCCCTCTTTGCTGTCTCTGAGGCTCGCAAATGAATAGAGCTTCATTACTGGAGTCTGCATTTAATAACCATTATCCATTATCTTGTAATTAAGACTCCCTGTAACGAATCATGAGGACAATGCAAAAATACATAGTACATTTCTTTAATGAACTGGAAAATGTTCATCTTGTTCTATTTAGTAATGAGTTGCTGAATAGTCGTTAAATCCACTGGAGAATAGAACTAGATGGATTTTGAAGACTATCTTGAGTTTGTGGTTAATCTATTAGAATTAAAATTTCATCTTCTATTTTTATCAACAGCTGATTAGAAGTCATTCTGTTTGACCAAATTGATTAGAAGACCATATACAAGGGCAGCTGTTGTTTAATGAAAGTTTTTAATGAAACTGTACCATAGAGACTTGTAATTATAAGACTTATAAAAGCTTTGACTTACCTTATAGCAGAAAAAAATGAGAAGTATTGCACTGAAGGACTTTTAAGTGCTACATTTCGAAAGGGAAATTAAAAATATAATTTGGTGATGTTGAAGTTACACTTCCACTGCTCCTTGTTTTAATGTGACTATCAGATGTCCATGGTGTCTCCCTGGAAGGGAGCAGCTCTGAAATGTGCAAGTCAATTGTTTCTCCTGTGTGCTCCATTCTCTGCAAAGCTCTATCAACTTTTAATTGCCTCTTTTGTGCACTGCACTTTCTGTGGAGTTGGGATCTTTCTTGCAAATAGCTGTTTCTCTCCAGAGTGGAAGCTGTCACGGGAGGGTGCAATTGAGCCACCACTGGGCTGACGTGGTGCCTGGTCAGGAAGCCTACAGAGAAAACTGTGTGGCCTCAGGAACCCCAGGGTTGGTGGTACCGTTTGATTGTGTTTTGAAGGCAGAGAAGCACGCCTGGCTGTGTGCTGCCTTGCCATCAGGCTGTGCCCCAGCTGCCTGCCCGCCAGCTGTGCCATCGGGAGGCTCTCTCTGCAGCTCACAGAATGTAGTCAAGGCAACTCCTTTCTTGCAGCCAGTGCTGAAACTTCCCTTCCCTACTCCAGGGGATGTTGTAGAGGCATCATCATTCACATAAGAGACAAAACGGACCCCAAGCCAAATTTGAAGTGGAAGCAGATGCAGTTCCAATTGACTTAAGTGGATGATGCACACTACTACATGATGTTTGAATTATCCCTCTTCTTCTCCCAATTACTTTTGATAATTAATGATCCCACAGTACACCTTTTCTAAGAAGTAGGTTCCTAGGGATGAAGTGGGTCCTAATGAAATTAAAGAAGTTTTGTCATTGTGTTCTGTCAGTGCTGGATCATGCACTGCAAGGCACATTATTTTTTGTTAGTTTCTTAGCTTCTCGTTACACTGAGCTTCAGGATTTCTTTCAAACCAAGGCAGAGCAGCAAGAATACACAAGAATGTTACACAAGTATTAAGGCAGAGAGTGGAGAATATTATTCACTAGGGAGAAAACAGGAAAAAATAAACCAAGGCTAACTCTTGTTCTTTAAAGAACACAGATGTTTTGACCTTGTTGCTGCATTAATCCGTGGATTTAAGTATAGTAACTTGCAGTGTTACAATTGCTAAATGCATAAAAGGGGAGTTTTCCCTTGGTTTACAGTGTTACACAGATGGTTTAGTAAACACATATGAGATATCTTTCCCTTCTCTTAAAAACAGCTGTGGGAGATACAATAGCAGACTGTCAGACTTGAGACCAAGGAGATGCAAAGTTAAATTAAAAAAACCTGATGCAAATAATTTCTATTCTCAACGATCCTGGTGGAAATACTAAAATGTTGATTTATGTACACCACGGGGACGTATGTGTAAAGGAATGCTTCAGAATTGCTGTGAAGCAGGAGGGCATCTTTGAGGCTGTGAACCTCTATGTGCAGAGGGACTCTGGTTCTAAAAGTGCTATAAAACATTTTGCTTCCTTTCAGGGTCTGACTTCATAAAGACATCTACAGGAAAGGAGGTGGAAAACGCGACCTTTCCCGTTGGCATAGTCATGATGCGAGCCATTAAGGAGTACTACTGGCAAACTGGCTACAAGGTACTTCTCATTTCCTCTGTAAAAATTAACCAAACAGGTTCACTCACAAGGAAATAAGGATGTAATAGGATTGATTTGCTAATACTATTATTTTTTTTACTTTTGTGTTTCCTCTCTTGAAGAACCGTGACTTCATTCCATAAAATCTCATGCAATCAAAGCCTTCCCTGCTGCATTTGGATTTGAATTTTTATTCACTATTTAGGTGATCATGTCCATTAACAACAGGGCTGATAGTGGCTGACATGCTCCCAAAAACATCAGCAGAGCTATACAAATGTAGAGCCATTGAGCCTGTCCAATGTACACAACTGTGTTCTCTGACTTTGTCCTGGCAACCCAAGGGATACATTTTGCTCTTTCCTCCATTGCCAGAGAGGCTTTCCAAGGGCACAAGGAGGAAGATCCAGCTCTATCCCATTGCCTGGGATGGAAGGAAGGAGAGGGGGAACAGGGGTTGGAAGAACATTATATCCTGATATTAATGTTAATTGATCAGGTCACTGTCAGGCGAGGTCAGTGGAGAAAAAGGGAATGTACAGCGAAGCCAGTGATGAACTGTCCATGCATTCATCCTTTTGCTGCAACATTGAGAAAGAAGGAGATTCCCAGGAGAGTTTAAGCCACCTCGCACTTCCTTTTATCATGGGCAGGTGGGGGCTGCCAGCTGGATCAGGAGCTGGTGTTCAGCAGTGGCTTTGTCCTCACCTTCAGCGCCAGGGCAGGGAGCCATATCTCCAGCTAAGAGCCTCTCCCCGTGTCTGGCCACCCTTCCCTCCTCTCCAGCTTCTCCTTCTGCCCCTTCTGCAAGGCACAGTGTCAGCAGGTGGGATGAGCAGTGGGATGGGGGCTGAGAAGGCTTCAGGGGCTGTAGGAGCTTGAGGAATGTGTGACACCAGCTTGGAGGTGTGTCCACTGACTCTCTGTAGCCATCTAGGTGAGGCCAGCATGGATCCCGCTCCTCCTTTCCCCTCCTGCCTCTCTCTCTGCCACACAATCATTTGAGCAGCCCCAATAGTCTTGTTTCTGTGGGAGCAGCACCAGTGCCCCAGCGTGAGGCAGGTCCCTGGGGCACCAGGGCTGGGTGCCACAAGCTGCATTAGCACAGCTTTGTCCCCATAATTGGATATAAATGTTGAATTCACCTTTGCTTTCAAAGGAGGCATTCACGGTGTGAAATGTGTTATTAAGAGTAAGTGCTTGTGTCCCTGTGCATGTGTGTGTCAGTGAATTAGATGTAAACTGACTTTATGCACTTTTATTAACTGAAGACAATATTATCAGTGACAAGACATTTATAAATGGTTTCTTTAACAAACTAATTTTGCTGCTGTAGGGATGCTTTCTAGCAAGGCGTTGCCTGGGAAAAACAGGTTAATACAGAAATTAAACTTCTTCAAGGAAAGGAACAAGTTGCAGAGTAACATTTATTGACTGATAAGCTGTGGTGGTGATATGAAAAGTGTGCAATATAATGGGAAATAATCTTTTCCTGTCATTATTGAAGGACATACATAAATTGGTTTTTCTGTTGGGAAAACCCCCAATCCAGAAAAACTTATTACTTTTAATAATGTAAGGTGAAGAGAAAATTCTTGAGGAGATGAACTTATTAAGCAAAATAATGAAATACTGTGAAACAGCAGGAAAATGGTAGCTGGACTTTGTACTGCTCTTGAATTAAATTCCAACCCCTCCTTCCTTTTTACGTTTTTGTGGCAGTCAGATGTGCTGTTTGGAAAGCTGGTAAATGGAGGAGAGGACAGGCTTGTCTTTGTCAGCTTTTTTGCAAAGAAAAGACCTTTCAGAATCTGCTAAAAGGGGAAGGAGTTCTGAATGATGGTTTTAATTCTCTTATTAACTCTGTTTCACTTGTTTTTGCCACAGATTATCTCAAAGAGACGTCGTATTTCTAGGAAGAAATCTGAATTCAAATTTCATTAGAATTTCTCTTCCTTAGGGAAAGCACATTCCAACTGTTTTTGTTTATTATCTAGAAGATTCTTTTGCAGTTGCTGGGCTTTAAATTCTTTTTGGAAGTCTAACATTAACAGATGTATGCATACACTCACACATCTATTTGTCCATCCACAAAACCACAGTTTTCGTGGTTTGGATTTATCAAGCTTTTCCTGCTTTTGTTCCTTTTAATCTTATTGGAAATATGCCATTATCACAATGCTCCAGCATGAGAGAAGGATTTATCCTGCGTTTGTTGGTCCTGAAATCACTATATAAAAAAGATTACCAAACACATTTTAAAAAAGATACTTTCTGATTCCACTATTATGTCCATAAGGCACAAAGAAATCCTCAGTGCAGTGAGGTTCTGGGAGCTTGAATACAAAAACAAAATGATAATTCTTGCAGAATGTAAAGGCAGAAGGAAACATAGGAAGAATCAGTGTGTTGTTCAGATTTACCTCTTTTTTATACAAGAAGAATTTTTCCTTATTCCCCTTGTTTTTCTGGATTTTACGTAGCTGCTACAGGCCAACATTTTGGCATTTTTGATGAGGGATTTGATAGCTTGAGTGTCACAAGCTCTGTCTTGTGTTTAAATGGCACATAACCAAAGGACTGGCACTAGGGGTGTATGCCAAGTGCACAGCAGGTCCACCATGGGGTTCCAGACATCCTTTACCTCAAAGAAAAGTTTTACTTGGTGTTTGTGCCTTTGCAGACGTGGCAGTTCACCTCCAGGTATGACCCACATCCCACACAGAGGGACTGAAAGCACACCCAGCCTGTGGTGGGGGACAGACCTTTCAATTTCTGATAAAGACAGATGTAATCTAATTCCCATTTGGAAAATTTTAGTGAAAATCAAACCTCTGGTAGGTTTGAATGTGCAGGAAAATCATGTGTAACTGTGCTGCACAGGCTTTTATAAAACACAGCCAGTTCTCACTGCTGCCCACGAGCCAGCCACCTCACATGCAGCATCTTTATTGTAGACATATTATATGTCTACAATAACATAGAGTTATGTTATTGTACATTTGTTGTTTTATATTTGAAATTAGATTGGCAGTAGGTGATGATGGGATGGGTACTATGGGGTTATGCAGATATCCCTGTCCTGCCTAAATCCCTTGTACTAGAGGCAAACTCTTCCCATTAGACCTCAAGCCCAGTTCCTGAGAAAGTGCACAGGAGTCAAAAGTATTGCTCCCTCAGGACGAAAATGTTGTCTTTGGCAGTGATGACTGAGGCTTAATAGGTCCCATTTCTAGTCCAGACCTTGATATGTTTGCTTGGCAGAAGGATCTCTGAACGAAGAACCTGAGAACAGAATAGAGATGGAAGCAAGTTTTGATATAACAGAATAATAGATGTGTAAATTGACAATTGCTCAGCCAGTCTTGCTGGATAACTAAGAAAACAAATGTTAAGTTGGAAAGAGATTTGATGACTTAGAGCAAAGGATAAGCTGACCACAAACAAAAAGATGTCTTTACCAAGCAGAAAGATACACAGGCAAACAAGACATGTCAATGTGGCAAGTAGAAAAAAAGAATTTTCCACTGCAAGAAAACTGAAAAACAACTTTAAGCTTAAACTGTAACATACAAACTCATGTGATTGGATAGTATTAACCATAGTTTGGTAATGATATAGTTATGATAGGGTATAGGTAATAGTAAAGGTGTAGGTTGGTTCTTATGTATTAAGATGCTCAGCAAAGTATATAATGCAATGTAACCAAAACTAAAGGGTTTTCAGGCTTGCCTGCAGCTGGAGCTGACAGCTGGCTCTGTCACCCATGACCCTGACCTGCTGTAACATCTTGGATACAATGAACTGCATTTTGGAGAGCTGCCTGAAGTCCTGCATCTCTCTGCAGGCTCTTACTCAGGTCCTTCCCAGGCAGAGCTGTTCCATCACAGGCACTTTGAGACTGCAGCTGTACAAACACTGATTGCTCTTCTAGGGTTGCTGATGGATGAAAATGTGTGTTGGACTTTTATTTATTTCATTTTTCTCTCTTTCTAAAGGTTGGATTTAAACCTGCAGGGGGCATTAGGACTGCCAAGGAAGCTATTACTTGGCTCATGCTGGTGAAGGAGGAGCTGGGAGTGGAGTGGATGACCCCGGAGCTCTTCCGCCTGGGCGCCAGTAGTTTACTGGGAGACATTGAGCAGCAGGTTGGTTGTTGGCAGCTTGCAACTCATGAAAAACAAAAGTAATCTTTCTAAAAGTGCTGGCTTATTGCTTCTGCAGAAATGGAACATCCCTCTAATTCATTATTAATGACAGGCTCACTTCCAGCTCAGTGTTTATTCAAGTTTGAGCTGTTGTTACAGACATCTGGGGCTCTGGTGTTGGGGCAGCTGACCATGGTCTAGGCCATGCTGGCAGTGTTAAATTTTACAAAATTTGGGCAAAAAGGGCTCAGTTTGTGCGTTTACAGAGTCTTTTCAAATGCAATGTTCTGCTCTTCAGTCCCAGCTGTGACTGAGCCTCACAGACCCTTTGTGTCACTGTGCCACAACTCCTCACAGTGTTCCCATCCTGTGGAGAAAGTCACATCTCATCCTACATAGGGGTGCTGCTGACAGAGGATGTTTTACATGTTGGCTGTTTCCTGGGCAAGAAGTTCCCAGTGGGAAGAAAGATTCTGACCTGTGTATCCATGATCTACATCAGTGGCACAGGATGTCTTCCCCAAAGGATGCAGTGTAATTGGGAACAGTGTAGTGTCGTTGGAACTACCAAAACATGAAGGCTTTTGGTCCTGACTCCCAAGTTCATTAAGCCCAGGAGAGGAGGTGATATTACCTTTAACCAAGAAAAATATCTGAGAGTCATTATCCTGTTGCTGCTGCTGAGAAAACATGAGGTGTAGGGGCTTTGGGGGAGGACAAAACCACCAGTCTTTTCCCTTTCCTAGCACTTGAAATACTGACATGTTCTAAGAAATGTTTTAAGAACAGCTTAGAGATGTCAGGTTAATATTCATGACTGCTGAAACCCCTGGCTCACTCCTGCAATGAGAATTATATTGTCTTGCTCCCTCTGCCTCATTCTTGACCTAAAATTATGTCTCTGGTTGTGACAGAGCAGCATGAGCTTTCTCTTTGCCACTGCCATCACTGCTGGGTGTTAGAACACAGCCAGTGATTGTGTTGCACCATTTGTTCTGATTCCTTAAGGGTTTTATCTTTTATCTGCCAGGGATTGCACAAATGCCCCAGCCAAGACCAAAGCTCTTGCTGTTCTATGCTGTCTAAAAACGTGGAAGATGAAATGTCCCAGTCCATATATTCAATAAAACAAACATACTGAAAGAGTCAAAACCAGATGCCAGAGGAAAGCATTGGCTTCTACCTGGCTCTCTTTGAAATATTAGTTAAGAGCAGCAAGAGTCTTTGCTTTTTGCTTTTTCTTTCCAGCATCAAGACCCCTTAGTTCATATTCTACAAATAAAAATATATTAAGGGATATTACATCATATTTTATGCACACACACAAACAAATATCTATCATCCTCATCTGGCATGCCTTTAATTTGTTACTTCCTTGACACTTGCAGCTTTATAGTCGTATATAATTCTATCATAAATTTTCTTTTTTTCTTGCAGATTTTCTATCATGTGACTGGCTCTTATGCACTTCAGCATGAACTGGCAATGGCTTAGACACAAAACCAACTCAGGATTACTTTTACAAAAGAGGTCTTTAAGCAAACAGCATTCAGAAGTCTTCTGACAACCAAGTGCATATGATAGAATTAAAGGCCTAATTCTCCCTTCTTCATAGTTCATGGTATTTAAAAATATGCTCAAGTCTGCTGGTTGTACTTGATCCAAAAGCAGAAAAAAAGTGGCATTTCTGAAATAGTTAAATAGTTAATACATACAGATTTGCAAAGTTAATCTTGCAAAGTTCCTCAGACCAGCCTGAAAAGCTTATTAATGGCAACACTGAAATACTATGAAAAAGATTTAGGTGGCCTGGTAACACTTTGCATTCTCAGAATATGAAATATGTATGGAATGTTTCAGATTGCTAATTAAAAGCTACTGATCTTGGAATAGATTTCCATTCACCTCAGACAAAATCTTCTGGCACAGATGTGTTGCACTATTAATTCTTCTGTTGATTCAGTCTCAAGCATTGTAAGGGGAAAGAAGAATGAAACTTGGCTATTATTTCTCTTTTATCAAATGTCTTCTGTAGCAAAAAAAAAAAAAGGCAACCAGATATCTTTTTTATTTTTTCTATTTTCCCCCCCAAACTTGGGCACAGACATCCATATTTAGACCCTTGAATAAAAGTGGCTTGATTTCTAGAACAGCTGAGTATCCACAGTTGCTCCTGAAGTTAATGGGAGCTCTGGGTGATCAGAACAACTGAAAATCAAGCAGTCTCTATATAGGTGCCTAACTATGCATTCAGGGGCCTATTTTTAGGCATTTCACTCTTAAAATTTTAGTCTAACTTGCTTAGAAGCTCCAATTCCTGTCTCCTGTCATTTTGAAACACATTCATGCAAATCTTTCCATTTTAATGTAGGGGGGGTGACTGTCAGTTTGCAGGTGTCACTGCTAGGCTGGCTGAACTTCAACTTTGCCATTCCAAAAGAAATACATGAATTTAAAAGATGATCTGAATTGTGTCCTGTATGGGGTTTAATGCTTTAATGTAAAAAAAAAAAGTGGTTTTTTCAGAGCACATTAAGAACAATACCCAAATCACCAGCACTTCTTGAATATCAGACTGGAATTGGTAGATTCATTTTATCAGAACTGCATTCTGCTCACTAACCAGAGTTGTACTAAAAACTTAATTATCTTATCATCATGACTAGTCTCACTGACTTAAGTAGGTCTCATCATGGAAGTAGAGGAGGAGGAGGAGGATTTTGCTGTAAATCAAGCTACAAGGTGCATTTATTACAAAGAGATTTATTATAAAGATAATAACTCTGTTATTTATCTGGCTATACCACCTGAATCACTAGAGTGCTACAATAAACCTTGGACAGATAGGAAAGCTGATTAGGGAAAAAAAATCAAGAAAAACAACATATACAGAAAGCAAAATCCTATATGAAGTGCTCAGGATTAAAAAAGGACCTTAATTTCTCAGGAAATTGTTCATCCAAGGCTTTCAGTCTTTTTCTACTTTAGGTCTCAACATACAATGTGAGGCTGAGCTGTGACTCTGTTTTCATGTTTGTTTTCCTGAAAATGGCCCATTTTTACCATGACTTTTCCATCTGATTTCATTGCCAATTTCATCAAGGAAAAATTCAAGTGCCTGTCTGCATATGGAGGGGAAAATTCTGCTGCTGAGCTTTCAGAAACACAGAGCCTCTTACAAGAAATCAGCTCCCACCAGGTTTCTCCCAGCCTGACCTTCTGCTGTGCCCTCCCAGCCACCACACACTGGATTTTGCTGTTGTTTAGCTCAAATAAATGTTAATAAATGTTATAAATGTCCACACTTTCATAGTGGGAAGTAAAACTACTTGCAAACCACACTTTTTTTTGTGGTCGGTTGTCTTTAGGACAATTAGGGAGACGATAAAAACTAATTTTTTTTGGAGATGCTTTAGTTTGTAGGTAGAGGACTCTGTGTAGTACCTTAAAATTGATGAGGTCCAACTTTGCCACCTTGCTGTGTAAGGTGGGTCTCTGAGAACAGCCTCAGTGTCTCCATGGGAGCTGTGTGGATGAAAGAAGTTGCCAGGAGAAATTCTGTCAACAGTTTTGGTGTGCACATGGGCTGCTGGTGGTGAGTCCAGGGGTGACAGCTCTGTTTGCAGAGGGAGAGGTTCCTGAAGAGTTGAGGATAGCCACTTCCCTCCTCCATGAACCTTGAAACACACCTATGTGAAATACTGTGCCACTCCAAACTTCTCTGTTTTCACAGAAGCTGGATTGGAATGTAGTTTATACAATTTTTTTCTGTTGAAACCTTTTGTCAAAAAAGAAAAAAAAAGTAACAGGGTCTGTAAACACATCTAAATAAAGATGATTCTGGTTTGGAGGCTGTTGTTTTTCGAGGAATGAGCAGAAGGCTCAGTGTTTCAGAGCAATTGGTTGTCTTTGTTTAACTCCATGGTGATTCAGGTTATATTCACATTATCTGTGGGCCACCAACACCACCCAGAGCCTTGTCTCTCACCCCTCCTGCAGAAGCTGCTGGTACCAGCCCACAAATACCCAGTTGGCAGCCCTGGGGGTGTGAGGGGTTGAACCTGGCCAGGGATGCCAGTCCAGGAATGAGCCTGTGAGAGAGCCAGTTGCAGGGACTCTCTTAATTTCTGAGCTGAGGCTGGAGGTGGCGTGGCAGGATCTTCATTGCCACCCCCAGCGAGCTGGGAGTGCTCACATTGTGGGCTCCTAGGCTTGCTGCCCTTCACCCTAACCCTTCACTGCCCTTTTTCCCATCTGTCCCATCTTTTTCCTGCTGGCCATTTGCTGCTCTTCAGCTGAAGTTTGTGGAGGCAGCACCTGAGCTCCTGGGAAGCGTGGAGGGGGAGGCTCTCCATCGCTGCACAGACTTTGGGAAAAGTTCAGATTTAGTTCTGTGCTTCAGGCCATTAGGAAAGGAACAGGCAATTATGCACTCATGTCTAAATATATTTCAGAGTGTAACATATGTTTTGTGCAAGTCAGACTTGTATACTAATTTATTATTTTTATAACACTTATTCATTTAGGATTTTAAATAGCTTCATTTTGTAGACCACATTACTTTGCAAAGAAGAGAATAAATTCAAGAAAGTAAAGTAGAAGCTGCAAATCTAGAATATTCTGCATCAGCTTATTTACTAGAAGAGGGAATTGGGTGAGAGGGTGTAAGCTTTTTTCCTGGTTTGTAGGAAACAAAGATATTAAATAGTAATTATATGTGAAGTGCACATATCAGCTGGGGCAAGTAATACTTTGATATCTTTATTTCATCAGTCATATAAGTTCATTCTTTCATTTCCTTTGTGAAGCAGGGAACATACATTATATACCATAGCACATGCCACTGAGACAGAAAAAACTGATCTACTTTTAATTTTATTTTGCTCAGTTGGAACTTTGTCTCCTTGCCTCTCTTGGGGAGAAAAAAAGCCCCACGAACAACAGCAGCAAGTTTTATTCAAATCTTGGTGAGCTTTTGCTGAAATCACAGCTGTATATGTATTGTGTGGGGTAGGAATAAAAGGAGGGAACTGCTTTTATTTAGAGGCAACTTGCCCAGGAGAGAAAGAAAATTGTCCTTCTGGTCAGTCCTTAAGTAACAGGGAAAAGAGTGCTCTTATTATGTAAATGCACCATTGGTAAAATTACTGAATGCCTATTATTATTGAAGTCACAGAAAGTCAGAGCCATGCTAAATTAAGAGGTGATAAGGCTTAGAAAGAAGCACCAAGAACGTTTGCAGCCCTTGCACTCCCTAAAAGGAGGAGTAAGTGGGTGATGGGTGCAGAAAAATACAGCAAAGCTTTCCTGAGGCATAAAAGTTTCAGATCTCTGAGATCACAGGGAGTGTTTGAAAACACTGAATTGAGGAAGCATAAATTTAAAATTGCTTCTTTAGCTGAGATGAAAACAAAGGGCTTCTTAAACAATGTTAACAAACTGAGGAAGCCATACTGGAAATGACTACACTTGTTTTTTCAAGTCCTGCTTTCTGTGTGGAAGGAGAAGAGGAATTACAGAATCACAGAAGGGGTTGGGTTGGAAGGGAGCACAGCTGGCCCAGCCTCCCATCTCCAGCAGGGCCATCCCAGAGCACACAGCACAGGATTGTGTCCATGCTGGAATATACCCAGTGAGGGAGACTCCACAGCTTCCCTAGGCTGTCTGGTCCATGCTTGGTCACTGCACAGAAAGGTTCTTATGTCCATGCAGAACTTCCAGAGCATCAGTATCTGCCTGTTGCCTCTGGTCCTCTTGCTGGGCTCCACCTGGACCATCCCCCTGACACTGCCCTCAGATATTAATGGACACTGGTGAGGTCTCCTCTCAGTCACCTCTTCCTCAGGCCCTTTGCAGGCTCAGCTGGTGCAATTCACCACACTAACCACACCCTAAGAAGGATGATGATTTGCCCAGAAAGATGAGGGAAACCTTCATAACCTGATTTTATCATTTCAGTAATAGCATGAGCTCTGCTTTTATTCAAAGTCTTAGAGGAGTTCTCACCTCTTTACTAGTTAACAAGACAAGCAAACGAACAAAGCAGCCAACCAGTTCCCTCCCTGTGTCTGGGCCAAGGCTGTTTGGGTAATCCCATGGGTTAGGGGTCCCTGGCACTGTCACACACTGGGCAGCAAGGGGAGGAGCTGGGTGAGCTGCACCTCTGAGCCTGCCAGCTGCAGCCAGCCCCTGCTCTCACTGCCTGAGAGGCTGCCCTGGGGCTGGAAAGTGCTGAAACTCTCTGTAGTGATTCCTGATCCACTGAGAACTCCTCTTTTTTCCACCCTAAAGCTCAGACCTGAGCAACCAGCTCCTTAGGAGGAGGTGAGGAATGCGTGTGCTCCAGGATTTAATTTAATTACACGTAAGATGATTAAGGATGTTATCTTCATTTCCAGGGGAAATGAAACATTCAGCCAGCATCATGTCAGAAGGCTGGCACGTCTCAGTGCTGGCTGCTTTCTGCTGCCTTCTGCAGAGTCTGGGGCTTTCTTCAAAGCACAGGCGCCACAGCTGACCCAGAGCCTGATTTCTTGGTGCAACTTCTTTAAAGGCACGAATTGAAACAGAGCTAAGAACGACTACTGGGGCTCTGAACAAGAAGGGCTTTGTGTTCTACTCAGCACATGTCTGTCCAATTCCAAAAAAACCCCATGGATGCCTCCACCCCGTGTGATGGCAGCTGTAACGAGGCCTCTGGGATGGCAGTGATGGGAAGATGTAGATAAAGGAAGAACAGAGGGGTATAAAGAAAAGTTGTGAGAAGTAAGGGAGGTCATTGCCACTGCTGTTATTGCTTCACTGAAGTGTAATCTTTTGTGATCTCTTTGGAACGGGAGGTAAATAATAAAACACAAGGGAGGGAAAAAAATTAAAATAAATGCAGCCTGTGAATGCATGTTAAAACAGATGTCAGATTAAAAATAACTGAAAAAGAAATTCTACTGTAGGGAAAAAGCTGCTTTTTCCTTCAACATTTTATATTCCACCTTCATTAGACGAAAAGTGAAAGAGCTGTAAAGGAAAAGGGGAACTTTTGTTGTTTCCCTCTGAATGTTAAGAAAAGCCTAATGCAGGCACAGAGGGGAGGCTCTGTGGTTCACAGTGCTGGAGCAATTCTCAGGCTGAAGCCCAGAAGCTGCAAGGATGTTAAATAGATGCTGTGTGTGCCCTGGGACTTGGAGCTTTAAACCTGCAGTGCTGCACATCCAGGTGGTTTCATCCTCTCCATCCTCCCTCCCTCAGTCCCTTCAGGGTTGACAAGTCCTCTAATGTTGCAAAGAAATAAACCCTGCAATCTGGAGGGATCACATCATCCAGTAATGTCCCTCTAACTATAGATCTGGGCACCAGGGACTGACTTCTAGTTTCTTCAGCCCTTTTAAATGGGTTATTTCAGTGTTTGGTGACAGCAGAGTGGGGAACATTGACACACACACTTATTTTTTTCCCCCCATGGCAGCCCAGACCGAACCCATCTTTGGAGAAAGGAAATACTCACAAAATGCCTGTGCCAGTCTGTAAATCAGTGTCACCTCAGGTCTCTTCTGATAAATGAGCTTCAGAATGGCCCCTAAAAACTTCTGATCTGAAAAGCTGCTCTGCATCTGTTTAAAGCTCAAGGAGCTTTAAATAAATGGCTGAAGACATACTGAGGGTGGACAGCAAGGCACTACATTTCTTGGAGAGCTGGCATGGGTTGCTTGGCTTGTTCAGGTCAGCTAATGAAATGGCAACAATCTTTACATGGTTTCCTTCTTTATTTCTGAGTGTGGAATGCAGGTTTAAATGAGAAAGGCACAGCTCTGTGACTAATGCCTCAGCTTACAGGAAGAGTCAGAAATGACAGATACCTTTGGCTGCTGTTACAGTGTGGATGTCCAACATACTCAAACAACTTGATGGCATCCAGTGTGAGTATATTCCTGCAGTGATTGAGAAAAATATCTTTACTTTTCTCTGCCATTACCTTGAGCAAATTCCCACAACTCCTATTACTTTAAGACACTTAAGATGAGGAGTTGAGGAGGAGGCAGCTGAGGCAGAAGGAAAAGGTATCCCCAGCGGACTGAAGGCAAAGATGTTTTGTAATTTCTGAAACATTTCTTAAGCTTGCCCTGACAATGCCAGGTAAGATCCCAATGCACAATCCCTCAGAAGAGCTGCTGATGAGCAGGAGGATCTTGGCATTGTGCTGGCTTAGATTTGCCAGAGAGGAAGGAGCAGATGTGGCCCCAAGCAGCTCCACCCTGCCAGCCAGGGTGAAGGGGGGTGTTAGCAGCACTGGAGGGTACAGAGCTGCTT